CTTGAACTTGTAATATCTTTGTAGAGATAAGGTAACGGAGGAAGTATGCGAAATGTTAATCGCAGATTTGATCAAGAGTTATTCTATTCGATAGAGCTTTCCGAGCTGATTCTTCAGATATGAAGCGTTCTTTCTCATGGAACTCTTAACTAGACAAAATCAATCAATTCTACTCATGCAAGATCACATTCGAGACACTAAATACAGAAGTTTTACATGCATTAGTATGTGAGAGATGAAACGTCATTATCGACCTCCTTAATTTTTACTGTACATTGTTACCTAATAGACTAAAAACTGCCCAATGATGTCTTATTCTGTGTGTTACAATGTTGCTATCATTAGATATATATGCATCATCTACGTATTATGCTATGAAAAGCATCGATAACTCTGATTAAACATTACGGTTTGAACGCTTCTTTATTGTTTATCGCTGTCGTTTATTCTATACTAGATTTCTCAGAGTAAAGCGTGCGGAAGAACAATCAGATCGATATTCGCATACTCAACCGTAACAATCTGTAACGCTTAAACTATAGGTGTTTAAAATAATGCTCTCTCAGAATGAATAATGTCTGGTATAGCACAATACGTAGATGATGCATGTATCTAATGATAGCAACATTGTAACATACAGAATAAGACATCATTGGGCAGTTTTTAGTCTATCAAATAACGATGTACAACAAAAATTAAAAGGGTCGATGATGAAGTTTCATCTCTCACATATTAATGCATGTAAAACTTCTGTGTTAAATGTCTCGAATGTGATCTTGCACGAATAGAACTAATTGATTGATCTTGTCTAATTAATGGTTCCATGAGCAAGAACGCTTTATACCGCACGAATCTGCGTTTAATACTTTGGATAGTTCCCTCGTAAGAGTACGTATTGGTTTGAAGGCATTCGTAGCTCTTTAGGATCTGTATAATGTACATAGTCTCGAGTCAATAGTGATTTATTAATTTAGAGACTTCCCTTATTAATGAAATATTTACAATCAAGATCTTAATATAAGTCATTGTCATATAGGAAAAGTATATAAATAGTTTTATTACAAGAAAAGTTTTCCATTGTTTTATTCGACTATTTTATAGTATTTATTTATTCATAACTAGTAGAAAATTATGAACCAAATATTTATGAAACACAAGAAAGATAAAGAATAAACTCACCTTTTTACATATAAAACAAAGACAAAAAAAATTAGTAAAATTTTTATTCGAACAATAATAAAAATTGACTAATATCGTTTTTTGATTTTATGAAATAATCATTTTGCAGTAATTATTAATAAAAGAAAAATAATTGTCATAGAACGATTAATTATTTCTCAAACTCGAAAATATTTTTCTAGAAAGCAGTCATTTCGAAATATAAAAGCAATTATATATAATTTCACTCTGTAGTAAAATTATTGTAAACGAAATCCATATATTCGTTAAATATAATGATTCACTAACCCTACCATTGGTTTTTTGATTGTACACTTTTTATTCAATAGCATTCGTATTTATGGCAGTATAATTGTGGACTATTAATTCGGTTGGAAGCACAGCATTTATGTAGTCCTTCACGATTTTTTTTTCTACAATGCAAAGTACTGTATAGCAATCCTTCACGAGTTTTTTACTTTCTGAAGTCATCACTCGATCTAAAGATTAGAATGTCATACTATTTTCATTCAACTTGTGTTGCAAAGTTCTATATTCTTATATAATTGGTATGGGTAGGTTGGTGGCATCAATAGTCACGCGGCGGCGAACGTTCTACAGCCACATCTACACCACCCATACACCTCAATAGATTATGAATCATGTCGATAATTAGTTGATTGATCGATACCGTTCATTAGAAATATGTCGATGCGCCTTTATGGAGTTCTCGTAGTGATGAATTTTGCTATGCCTGCCTTTCAATCATTTTTCTATTGCATTAATGCGATGCGAAGAACAGGAATTATGTACTCTTTCGTGAGTGTTCTTTTTTTATTCTGTTTTTTTTTTATTAAGGTACGATGCACTTTATAGGAATCAGTCAAAATTTTTTTTCTTTTTCGAATTATGC